AGCTTACAGGTTTGCACCCCTTTGCATGACTGTAGAATTAGTTCAACATTTGTATATTACAGTAATATTCTACTGCTATGCTATTTAACAGTTCTCTTAATACACCTCGCACACTTCAACAGTGTACCAACTCCTTTTCTGGTTCATCAAGTAACCCCCAACCTCAAGCTTCCTCTCCAAAACGAAAGAGAAATGTAAGTTTTTTGGCCTTGGTGTTCGAGCAAAGTAAGGACTTACATGTTAAATATGAGCCACCCGTGTATGTTAGTGAGGCAGCCCAAGTCCACTAGAAGGGACATACGCACCGTGTGGAACCACTGAAGACAAATTGGCAACTTGTTACGCACAAAGTGCTTAACAAAGTCTGAGGGTTTGTTGAGGTTTCAAGGGAGACTTATCTGAAGACAAGTTCGAGAACGCAGTTCTGAATAGAGGTCTTCCAACGGGAGTTGGTCTTCTTCTGAGTAGAAGTCTGATCTTAGGAGTCTAGCTTTGTAAGCGTAAACTGCGTAGAATTGTATTAGAGAATACTACTGCTGTTACATGGTATTTATAATGAAAAGAAATCAGTGATAGGAGTTAGGTCCTATCTAGGGCAGGTCCGTCTGTTGAGGACTAAGTACTATAATAGGTACTGCGAATGCAAGAGGAACGGAAGTGTACATGAAGGAGATGAGTCATCGGTCCGATGGTATAACCGATGAGTAAAGAGAAATGAGTAGTCCTTAAATGTCCAATAGAGATCGTAACACAACTCTTTTCACAGCTATTTCTGCCCTTCATTGGACACTTGGCAACTTCCTATAAAGGTATCGGTTTTGCCTAGGGTGTAGCACGGGTGTACCCGTACGTCAGAAAATCAACACCGTACCTGTACCCGCCAACACCACACCCTTCAAGGGTATGGGTACGGTAATACTGTTAGGACCCGCGGTATACTAGGGTATCCACAGTAGTGCAAATACCCGCGGGTTGAGGAACCAAAAAACGTTGAAATGAGCTGAAGCAATACAAATTTGAGAGTATCTACTGTACATCAATAGCCTCTGTTGTATCTAGCTTACACTTTCCTAACTGTTTAATGATTTTCACAAGATCTGCACTTGAAATGAGCTCACATCGGAGCCATGAGCCCAGACAGAGAAAGGCTCGAGTTGAGGAAGGAGATAAGCGATTACGAGTAAAGTGAAGCAGCTGCTGGCCTTGGGAGAAAATCCGCTCTACAGCAGTTGAGGTTGCTAGAATGTTGCTCAGCATGAACAAGTATATCATGTACTTGGGGCTTACCAGGAATGCTAAGGTAGTTGAGTGCCATCCTATGCAAGTTCGGATAAGAGTGTTGATTATTCACCCACCACTTTAGCAGGTCCTTCGTCTTTTCAACAGGCTGGCGTGGATATTCTTGAAGCTCATCCAAGGACACTGCAACACCTAGTGAGATATCCCCAAAATCATCTACATCTTGAACCTGTGGTACTCTTGAATGAAGACTAGAGGACTCAGATGTTGGATGGGACTTGGTTGAAGAGCCATCACCAGCACCAGTACTGGTTGAAACTGTCAACATGTGGAATGCGTGTTAAATTTCAACTTCAGTCCAGCATTTATACGCACCTTATGCCAAGGTTTTCATCAACATTGTCTTGATGCTTCCTTTTACCGTAAAAGAGCAGCAAGGAAACTCTTCTTTTAGATGAAAATTGATGTCAGTGTTCCCATTTTTGAGCGTCGATTGGTACAAGACAGAAGCAAGAGGCAGGCAGAATCCGAATATCACAGCCACCCGTATCAAACCTGTATACCGCACAAACGGGTACGGTGTTGCTGAGGGTATAGATTTTGAACACTGTACCCGTGCCCGCCGTACCCGTCCCCCCTAAACCCGCGGTGTGACCCATACCCGTGCTACACCCTAGTTTTGCCAGAGCCTGTGGCAGTGATTAAGAGGACATCTTGATTGTCAAGTAAGCGGCATATTGCTTCGAGCTGAAGTTCATTGTTGTCATGGGACATGCATTCTCGTAGAACTTGACGAACAAGCTTCAGGCCTTCGTTTGATGAGAAAATAAACTTTGAAGCTCCCACTGAGCTCACACGAGTAAGATGTGGACGCGACGCGTTTATTTGAGTCATCACGTGATGTGTGCACATGACTACCTAACGACCGAAATGTTGACCTATGCAGACTAACTATACTCCTACACAATGTTTTTTGCGGTGTAGGAAAAAATAGGACGATGCTTTAGCAAGGTAGACTTTCTAAGATTCTTTTCAAGGGTCTTTCTAAGTGTAAAGAATGAACAGAAACTATTGTATCGCCTGACTCGAGAGGCCACACTGGGCGCTAAAGCTCAAAGACTATTTTGTTCCTTAAACTCGTGCCTTGTGCCAAAATTTGACATGCTTGAATGTTGTGCCGGGCTCACGGTGAAGATGTAAACAGGATCTTTCCTCTCGAAATCCCAAGTTGCCGACGAGCTGGACCCCATCAGCGTTTTCTCCCCGATGATGTGCTCAAGGATCTGTCGTTACATGACACGCCGATTCTTAGACCCATTATTGAAATTATCCAGGCACTTTCCCAGCCGTGACTTCGATCTCAACGGTGGTGAGGCAAGCATCATACCATCATCATCATCATCATCATCTAGGTACCGACTTTCCGTATGTTGTTATATCTTGCTATATTCTGTCCACTTGCTGATAGTGAACCTCCACAGATTCCCCGCACCTTAATCCCCTGTCGTCCCAGATATGACACTTATCTGCTGTGTGCAGGGTAGCGATATCAAATACAGAGGATTCTTGATTGACGCTCACTTCACTTTATTAATGCACAGGCGGTCAGGGGAGGACGAAACCTGGTATATCATCGTGCAATGATCGTATGTGCTGTACAATAATGATGGTCGTGGTCACAGACTGGCAGGTGATATCGTGATAGCAGCCTATGCATGTATGTATCGCTGTATATAATGTTCACCGTCTATATATATGACCCTGTCGGCGACTCAGTCTGGCTATCACCCCAACGAGCATACAAGAACAACTGCATACATACTCAAATTGCGGGCTAAAATGTCTGAGTCACTTTCCGTTTATTTCCGCTCTGGTTTGCAGACGTCCAAGGTCTGTACGCCATTAGTTATCAATTTTATCCTACTTGCCATCTCATGCCTTGCAGTACTTCAATAGTAAGAACTTCGCACGTCCGTTCAGGAAATGTTACTAACATTCAAGTTATATTTTTGAACAGTCGCAGCATTGGCACTATGGGTAAGAATATGCAGCCGATGACTACAACTGACATACTCACACTGACAATTAGTTGTTTGATTATGGCATCACACTCGAAACCGAGGTTTGCTACTTTGTTTCTTTCAGCTTTGCCCTCATTAAAGTTGGAGAATCACAGGTGCTCTGGGTCTGGGGTAAGAAATGGGGACTTACCCGTTTCATGTTCACGATCTCGCGCTATCTGACACTAGTGTGTGTGACCATGGTTGGGTATAGTGAGTGGGAATCATGTTGGTATCATTCTGCTCTCATTCAATTTGGCGAGTCAGGTGCTTTCCAAACTGTGCCGGACAATGTTAGCTTGACCATCCCCTCTTATCTCATTCACCTGGATATTTATAACGATATTACTTAGTGCTTAACGTTGTCATACGTGGTGGCCGGTAGGTCTTTTGATGTTCAAAATAAATATTTTCGCATATCAGTGACGGCAACTTGAAAGTTGGAATCTTTATTATCACTCTATCTACAGAAGGTACCGCCGACTTATTCTTGTCAGATCCATACTAACTGTTAGTATTTCAGGTCTTTTGGTCATGCGAATGTACGCATTTTGGAAGGGTAGTAAGAGATTCTTGCTACAGTTGCTTCCTTTTTCCCTTGTACGCGTCCCTGATCAAGTAGACCGCTTGTAAACTCATCAAGTAGGAATTCCCTAGGTCATAGTCGTAGGTGCTATAATACTGCCACTTAAAGTGAACATAAAGACTGCTTGTTGTAAGACATTAATTTTTATCGCGTTCTCGCAGCTGACTTTTCCTCAATCACAAGCAAACTCAGGACCCTGCCTCTTTTGCAGCCCTGAATCGTTCGTGTTCTACTACGTGTTTTTGGTCGTCTTTGAAATCGGTACGTTTTCAAAATTTGGATAATTGCCCTGGATTTATATGTCATACCTAGTCTCCTTGTGTTTGACTCTTATTAGAAGATACGGCCACTACTACTCCTCAAGGAGTAATTTGATACGAACACTTTATCGTGATGGCTTGTTATATATCAGTTCCATCATCTGTGCGTTTATTTTTTTCCGCCAAATTGTCCGCAGTCCGCTTTATAGCAGTAACTTTTAGTGATCACTTTGGCCAACATTATCCTTTATTTCGCTTTCCCTGTGAGTGAATTTTCCTGCCTATTGTCGTCTTTCGGTTTGAGAATGAACCTTTTGATCTGGCCTTCATCATCAGGCTCAATACAACGAATCCCTTGCAACGTACGCTCGTCTCTGCTGCCAACAGTCAAATCATCTCATCTCTAAGTTCCTTGCAGATTTCAACTCGTCCTACATAGTATACTCGCATCCCGCATTCTGTTCAACCTTCATGAAAGTGACGCACGTGAATATTCAAACACGATACTCCTATCGGTTCTATCACGAGGAGAAGGACGGCCCGCGGCTGAAAGGCAGGTAGGATCCTCCCCTGTACGAGAAACGGGGTGACGAGCAATAGTGGAACGGCATGTGTTACTCTAACGGAAGGACATAGATGATCCAGGTCATGGCTGCAGGTTTTTCGGAATGTAGTTATCGAACTTGTTCTTATGTATCGAGATATGTGCATGAATTTAACCTTGTAACACCGTTTGTACACCCTCATATGCATAGCCAAACTATTAGTACATAAGATACTGATTTTTTACGTGTGTCTGGAAGACTCTCCGAGTCGCCAATAACCGAGAGCGTGCAAGCACGAAAGCTGGTATCATCACGTACCCCTCCTGCGCGTTGTCTCTGTTGGTGACTCCATCGGTTTCATACCTACCATCCGCTCAACGACCGCCTATAGTGAGAAATGTCTTCAGAAGTGGAAAAGAAGAAAGAAAACCAGCCATTACCTGTGCTTGATCCCAGTCCATCTGTTCGTCCTCATCGTCCTCCTCCTCTTCCCCACCCACGTGCTCTTCACTCCCAGCTCCAAGCCCCCACCCACCTACACTTGCACGATGATACCCAGCGGCATCGTCGTCGTTATGAAAAGCAGCTGGACTCCTTCAAAAGAGCAACAAATGATGAGCCAACAAAATTGGAGAGAATAAATTGAATATCAAAAAGTAACGAACCTCAACGATTCAAGCACCACTCTCCCTCTTTCTCTTTCCTTCTCTCGTTCTCGTAACCGTTCGGCACCAACCCCAACTCTGGGTGTCTCCCCTCCATCATACTCATCACCTTCCAAGTCCACATCTCTGCCATCGAGCTCATACGATCCAACACGTCCAAACCTCCGCTTCGTCGCCACCGCCGTCCCCAACTCCCCACCGTCCTCGTCTACACGCCCACCCAAACTCGCCGTACTTCCCTTTCCTTTCCCAGCGACCCTACCCCTCCTATCACGTGGTGTCCCGCCCGACAAAAAGCTCGGTGCGCGTCCAATCATCCCACCCACCCCAAGACTTATACTAGATCCAAATATACTCGCATGCGCCCCCGGCACCTGTGTCCTCCCATATGAATGTGGTGAGGTGTGTGTGTACAAAGAGCGTGGCGAGTTCGGCGAATGCGTTGAGGTTCTGTTATGCGCTTGGTGGTGCTGGGCTTGGGACTGAAGAGCAGAGGAGAGAGCACGGAGGAGAGAACCGGTTGTCGGCTGTGCGTCTGCTTGCGAGTGGGTGTGGTTAGTGGGGCGGTGTAGGTAGGGGTTAGAAGGAGATAATGATGCTGGATGAGTGTGTGTATGCGGGTGCGGGTTGACTCGGTGAGATTTTTGCGATGTCAGGACAAGAAGCCTATTATGGAGACCGTCAGTTGTGTATCCTTACACCAATATAGCCCTCAGATATGACAGAAGGGCGAACGAATAATCGTTGTTTAAACGATACTCACATTTGCATCACTCGCGGAACTCGGCCCCCACCTAGCCTCGCCAACGTCTCTCTAACGAGAGGTGGTGAGAGCCGTGCAAGGAGAGAAGCATGCAGAGGAAGAACGACTTTATCGCGAAACGCACGAAGAGCGATGGACCGTACGTCGATCGTTGTAGTTGAGGTGGCATAAGACGAGGTCGTAGACCCAGGTGAGCCGTAACTCATGGAAGATGGAGAGCCATAAGAAGGAGAGAAGGAGGATGGTTTGGCACCCTGCCGCGTGGGAGAGGACGTTCGGTGTTGTTTTGGGTTTCGGTAGAGTGAGGAAAGTAGGGGATCTGTTTGAAGTGGTAGGAGAACCTATGCATTTGGGTAGGTTAGTGAATATATGCGTGAATATATGCGGGTAAAGTAAAATATGTCTGAATATGCGTTGGAGATGTACATGTAGTACGTATATTTGAACTTGGAGTTCGTCTGTGGGGTTATGAAATATGACAAGGATTTAGTCCAACTGGACTGATGGCCCAATCATGATGAGATTAGATAGGCCAGTTGTATGTGCAGTATCTGCGAGCGCATATACACGTCAAGTCCCGCGCACATCGAATATGCTCGATATACCATCACAGTATAACCCAACCACAAAAGCCGAACGGGCGACAGAACACTCACCCCTTCAACATATGGTAATATCTGGTCCCAGAAGAACGACCATATCTCGACGAGACGGGGAAGTAGCAAGTCTTCATCCACATTAGGGAGTTTTGAGTCACTCGAGAACTTGGCTTCTCCGAAACCAACTAGTTTAGCGTTAAGGGTGATCATACCCGCACCCACAAGCTCCAATGCGTCGTTCTCGAGAGTTGAGAGCGCCTTTGATGGAGATGCAGAGAGGACGGCCTGTATATGTTTTTTGACAAGAGTATTGAGGTCTTCTCTGTGGTTCGGGGGATAAGTGAAATCATATGTGTGGATACTGATGTCGTAATGTTGATGAAAAAGAATAACACTCACATTGGCACCCTTAGTGGTTCCTCGTTGAAAAGGGGAAGAACATGCACATGCAATGTTCCCCATGGATTATCCCTGTCCAGTCCTCCCATACCTAAAGCGATGACATGACCAGAGTTAACTGAGATGGCCCCGCTTGGGACACCAAGGACAGAACTAGATCCGCCAACATATGTCCCAGATGTAGCTATTGACGCCGAAGAGGGCGCTAACGCGAGTGTAGAGGACGAAGGGTTCGCGGTGAGCGACGAGGCAAGCGTATGCGAGTGCGAATGGGCGGGCGAGAGTGTGCCTAATCTGTGCATCTCACGAGAAACAAGTTTAGAGTCGTATGTGCGCGCAGAGGCCTAGGAGAGAGACAGAAGATATGTTTATAACATAACAAGTGTGTGGTGTTATATGCAGAGTAAAAATAGCGATCAGAATAGAAGAAGTGAAAGGATAAGTAGATAGGCTTTTGAGCGCACCTTGGATGGGGAGGTGTGACCTTTACTGAGGGTGTTCGCAGAACTGACAGACGAAGCCATCACGTTCGTGTGTTCCCTGGACTCGGCCGATGGAACAGCCAAGCCACCCTTCGAATTGGTATCTGAGCGTGAATGCGAATGGGATCTTTGGGGTGAGCGAGATGGTGAGGACGACAGAAAGCCTGCGAGTCGTCTGGAAGCAGTATGATGGGTGTTTTGTATCTGCTGGATGCTGTCCTGATGGCTGGAAAAACGTGGGCGAGCAAATGAAAAGAAAGAATCGGAAGTAAAGATGTTCTTGTTCGGATTGTGACCTCCAGCTGCGACTCTCAAGTCAAGTCCGGCGACACTCAAGAGGTCGTCGTCGTTGTATGTATCCAAGCTCTGTCGGTGAGCAGGATGCTCTTGCTGTGCGCCGGCGGTGGTACCAAAAAGGACACGAGGGATCACAGCAGCTGGCCGCGGAGTAGCATCACTCGAAGACGCCGACCGTCGATGGCGGTCTCCTGCTTTTCCCTCTTTCTTCTGCCCGTGCTCGACGTCAACGCCTGATATCTCGCCCTCATCCAGACTCGTGCCCGTGCTGCTCCCGCTCTGTGGTGTCGATGACTCGCTGTGTTCATACGATCTACGAGCACGACTGAGCAGCATTCTGGATCACCAGTGCTCCAACGTTGCTATCAAGGTGCTTTTCTTATGATTTATCTTAGGCTTCCTCAACGATCCCATGATATATGTGTTCTCTTCATAGCTACCGGTTGTTGTAATTTTATCAAGCCGTTTCAAGCCAATCTCTTTTTTCTCAACTCGTTCTCTTCACTCTTGCGTGTGATCGTTGTCTAACGTCAGAGCCTAGACTCGCACGCAACCAGCACGTGCCTGTGTCTTGCAACTTATCTTATCGCGACGCCAACGAGATTCCACTTTATATTAGTCTCACAGGACTCGGCTGACAGTTTTCAGTCGCAGTGATATGCACATAGCAAACCATCGAATATATCTCGCATATTCAGCGAGACTCTTTTAATACCACTAAAATGACTACAGAAGTTGTGCAGTAAGTTGTCAAGTAGTTATCCCCTGAATCATGCACGGATATCCTCGACGCTCCACTTTGAGCGCAACTCGATTGTATATGGATCGTGATCGCCTTCCAGGAAACGGTGCATAGAAGCCCATGCGATCATCGCAGCATTATCTATAAAGGTTTAGGGTAAGTACGCCGTTACAAACGAACAAGGTGATGCCGAAGGGACAGTACGATATGCGATATGCGGATTCTAGCAGCGAAAAGTGCACACTACGACATAAAATCAGGTCTCACCTGTACAGAGCTCAACAGGGGGAAATAGCAGTTGAATTGGTTCGTATTTATCACTCCCTGAAGTAACACTGCTAGTAGCGTACTCGTCCAAAGCCACGCGTAATCTGCGTGCACCGTGTTATACAACTTTCATTTATACTTGCAATCTGGGTACAACACTCACCTGTCCCGCAGAAACGCGTTCGACGCGACTCCACCACTAACTACTATGTCTCTCACTGTAATATCTCTTCGTTCACACCATTGAAGGCCTAGAGTTAGCTTCGACGTAAGCTGACGTGCAGCAGCGGATTGAAAAGCGCGAGCCAGAGCAAGTTTATAAGCGTGCGGAACAGATGACGAGTTGATGGAAGATGGATGAGAAGCAAGCGCCCGTTCCACAGAAGAGTGTAAACACGAAAATGAAAACCCGAGCTGTCCAGGCATGGGAAGAGGAAGCTGAGGAACAGCATCGTCCAGGCCTCGTCCAAGTTGTCCCTCGTCAAAGTCGCCACCAGTCCGACAAAAATCTTCCAGGGCTGCTCCAAGGCCGCGTTTCCCCCAGTCCAATTCAAGCATCCTCGCGACTTTGTCAAACGCCCGACCCACGCTCTCATCAGCCGTAGTCGCCAGTATACGGAACTCTGTGAGCGATGACGCGAGGAGCAACAACGTGTGCCCGCCTGAAATCAGGAGAGTGAGGAACGGGAAAGTGGGGAGCTCATTGAGTGGGGCTGTTAACAACGGCGTCAGTGCATGAGCTTGCATGTGATGAACGCCAACTAGAGGCTTGTTGAGCGCAGCGGCGAGCGACTTTGCCGCATTCGAGCCTACGCTGAGACACCCGCCGATACCAGGCCCACGCGTGAAAGCTACTCCATCGACATCGCCAACTGTGATCTTGGCTTCCTCTAGAGCCCGTCGGACGGCGCCCGGCATGTTTCGCTGGTGAGCCTCGATAGCTACTGAGGGATGGATGCCACCAAAGTGTTCATGCAGGACATGTTGCTTTACGACGATGTTCGAGAGGATCTGGCGTGAGGAGGTGACGACAGCAGCGCAGGTATCATCTGCAGAACTTTCGAATGCGAGGACTGTGAAAGGTCTTGCTGAACTGATAGTGTGTTTGAATTGGCGTCGGCGCCGGACAACATGATGACCGAGTGCTCGAGCTCGCCGTTGCATCAGCGCAAACGGACAAAATTATGACGCGACTTCAAGTTGAAGAAAGGATAGGTCATTTACTCACTATAGGACACAGGTAGTGAATGTTTTCCGTAGTCACTTTGCCGGAGTGGTTAACGGGATCGCCTGCTATTTCTGAGCAGTTCAAGCGGTTGGGCTTTGCCCGCGAGTGTTCGAATCGCTCAGGTGACGCTTCTTTTTGATCTTTTTTTTTTGCAAGCTACTTCACTCACTTCTCACGCCAATCTCTGAGCAGTTTCAAAACTGCCGAGTCCATCATATCTTCAACTTAGGCTCTTCAGTACACCGAGGTAAAAAATTCGTTGTTTATTTTAGAGCAGCACAAAACGACATGAGCACAAATAAATACGCCAATCTCCCTGATATCGTACGTGTATATTTAGCATTTTCGTATTCAGACTCTTTGTTCATTCTTGCGCTCAGGATACTGCACCTGATGTCTACGAGACAGAAGACGTATTCCCTACATCACAGCTAAATGTGAGCCCCATTTTCTTCGATTTGCTATCAAACTAATCAGACCATCGATCCGAAAGGGAGATTCGAGCGACGACGAGCCCACTGGCGTATCGCGCATTCGTGGTCGAGGAGCTGATGGAGCCGGTGCACCTGGACGAGAAGAGATAGACAATAGTCCCAACATGAACACAGAGGAAGCCAGGCAAAAGTTCAGAAAAGCAGACCGAAAACGTGCGTTATATAAATTTCAGTGAAAGGAGATGACGGTATGATCATCATCCCATCGAACACGGTTGCTAACATCCAAGGCAGATCGCCATAAGACGTACTTCTCGTATCCCCGTTCACGCACTCCTTCCACGTCGCCTTCTTCTTCGCGCACACCGTCTCCCTCTCGCTCACGTCCGCACCCGTCCCGTCTTCCCCTTGCCTCGCGTCTCCGTCTTCTCCAATCCGAACTCACTGCGCTTGAGACCGAACTTGCGGACCCGTCAAACCCAAAGTTCAAAAGCCAAGACGTCGATCCGGGAGAGATGATTCGCGGGCTGGTGGACGTAAAGGCAAGGATCGAGGCAGTCAGAAGAGGAAGAGAAGGGAGAGGAAGATTAGTCGGTGTCTTGGTCGACGATACAGAGGAGAAAGTAGAGAGTGATGATGAAGACCAGGGTGGCAAAGACAAGAAAGAAAAAGAAAAGCAAGGGAAGCTGGATGTCCGTGGTGTGGTCGAGATGGATAAACGGGTCGGAGAACTTGAGAGGCTTGTTGGGTCCTCAAGTACGACGCTAGACGAAGTAAGCCGCCCACTATGCAGATATTCACAGAAGCTAACCAGAACAATTTGATACCAGACGGCACCTTTGCCTCCCGCGCTTCTCCCGCTCCTGACCCGAATCAACACTCAACTTACACTTCTTACCCAACCGCGACATATCGACTCCATTTCTCGTCGTCTCAAACTCCTTCTCTCTGACCTTGAGCGTGTTTCTTCTGCTTCATCCGCGCAAGCTCAAAAACGTGCCAGTTCAAATGGGACAGGAACGGCAGCAGTAGTTGGGGCGCACGATAACCTTCTGCCACTTCTTACACGGCTGGCTCCATCACTTCCACATATCCCACACATCCTCACTCGCTTACGCACACTGTCTGCGCTTCATGCATCTGCTGCAGAGTTCCAGGGTACAATAACCACTCTAGAAGAAGAACAGCGACGCACTAGAGAAGCGCTTGATGCTCTGAACGGAGCGGTAGCTGAAGTAGAGTCGAGTTTGGAGGCTAACAGGGGTACAGTTTCAGGGAATGTGAAGGGACTTGAAAATAGGATTGAAAACGTTGTGAACAGATTGGAAGATTTAGCGAAGTAGTCCTTTGGTACTGTGCCCCTCTGCGCATATCTTGTACAACATATACAGTCCGTTTTCGTGGAATAGTCGTATCCGTCGACATCGAGACGGTGCAAGCTCGCTCCAATTTTTAGTAGACAGTATGATACATTCGAAAAACAATTTTGATACAAGTTAATGATACATTGATTTGAGTAGCCAGTTCCACAATTCCACCATAACTAAAGTGCGCCGTGCTGCTCCAGGAAATCTCTGGCGTGCGTCTTAGCAGCCTCCGATACTCGTGGATCTGAGCGGTCAGTCAGTGTGCAAACAAATCAGTCGAAAAGTCATGATACATACTGTTGAGGGCAGCTTTATACCCAGCTAACACACGGGTTTCGTGTTCCTCTTCAGAGATACCTGTGGGGCGCTCGTATACACCAGCAGCTTCCAATACTTCTTGTGCGTGTTGCTTCGCCTCCTCCGAAGTATTCTCGTCTGAGAGATCGTTCATATCACATGTGTGACAGGAGATAGGGGACATACTGCTCAACGTGGCTTTATAACCACCAAGGACGCGTGTGCTGCCCTGCTGATTGGCCCTCCCATATGCTGCCCCGCCACGTTCTGTGTCATCACCCAGCTCGTTCAGGCGCTGAATGGCGTTATCCTTTGCCTCCTCTGAGACATTGGGATTGTGAATGGCTGCCTTAAGACCAGCAATCACGCGACCTGTGTCTTTGTCTACGATCACAGTCAGTCATCCTTGTGCGACGGATACCGAAAAGAAGAGCATTACCAGCCATTTCTGATATGATCTGTTTATGGGGTAGGTGGTAAAAGGATGAAGTTGGGATATTTGTTGCTAAAGTATTATGAATGTCACGGAGAGGTTATATACCCCCTGTCTTTTCAGACGCGGGAAAGTGACGTTCCGTCTGACGTCGTGTAGGAGTCACGTGCTTTTGATATTCAATGACTTGCTCCAAGTGCATATATGCTCCTGGAGCAAGCATGGCGTCGATTGTATGTAATCGAAACGCATCCTACGGACACACCTATGACTAGACGGCTTCATTGGGGAATTGACTGGATCCTGCTAAGTGTTTTTGGATAACAGTAGAGCATCTTTTACGCGGAATAAATTCAATAAGTGGAGTGGATTTCATCTACGGAGCTACATTAATATTGTCTTCAAGATATCAGATACATAACAAGGTCTACTACATCTGCAGTAACATGGAACGTCCTTATACATTAGAACTTACGTCTCTTCATACATTTAGCATTAATCAGATTCAGTCAATAATTTCAAGCATCTGCCATGAGGGTGAGTTCACAAGCGGTTTTAAAGACCTCTGGTGGCTTACAGTAGGATGATCCCGTCAGTAGCGTGGAGAGTGCAGCCAGTTGATCGTCGTTGAAACGTCTGCAGTCTTCATGCCAAGTGTCTTGGTGTGTTTTCCTGAAATTACTGGCACACTTATGAACAGTAGTAGAGATAGGAATCTGATACAGAATCAAAACATTTATGTCAACAAGTTGTGGGTGCAGATCATATAGACCCATGGAAAGGATACGCACAGGATCGAAGGTATGTTCCACCAGCACGCTGGTCAACAGCTCTGGCATCCATTTCTCTATGGTGTAAGGGAAACTATCAATAAGAGCACATATTCCTATGATAGCAGCATGTCTTTGGCGAATTGCCAGTGCGTATGGGATTGTATTTCGTTGTTCAGGTATGTGGCTTTTCTTCGCCAGTTTCACGAAGCGATCCTGCCCAATGTCATGCCAGTGAGCGACCGAGAAGCTTATTTTAGAAAAGTTACCTTGAGTGTGATGACACTACGCCTCGGCGACAATCGCAATATCCCCGACAGTGTACTTCAAGGAAAACTTAAGCACTTAGGTAATAGACTCAAGATAAATACACTTACGTCCCTACCATTTCCCGAACTTCAACTACTTCGTCGTCCAGACATTTGCATAGCATCTGGCAGTCTTTATTAATATTTTGCGCAGTTGATTACGGCTGTCAACTTACGTCTAAAATCTCCACGACTTTGAGTTCGCTGATAAGGGGCAGCTGGCGGAAATAAAAGACTACTGCATGTTAATAAGGTAGTCGTTGGTGATTTTCATTTGACACACCTTGAAGTATAGGTAGCGCCTTCAATCGCACTTTCCATGACTGTGCCAGAAATCAGTCTTAGTTCAGGGGCAATTGGAAGGACGAAACATACTGGAGATTTTCGCATAGCATCAAATATGGTTTCTAATAGCGGACCAATCATGGATTGCGGGGGAGTGACTCCACACATTCGTATGAGTAACAAATTTGCACGGCGTGCCAACTCGTCGTTGTCGTTCACTGTAGCAGTATAAGCACAGCAAATAGGAATGCAAAGCCTTTTACTCGCCTTCTGAGAAGCGGAATAACTCGGGCTTTTGAGTACAAGTCAGACATTAATATTCACACGTGAAACAGAAACTAACCATCAGAGGTAAGATGTAGTCATAGGTGGATATAGCTTGCGTATCATGCACCGACTGAAAGAACCATTTGCAAACAGCAATGCCGACCCTGAGATAGAGTATAATCAGTACAGTAGAGATGAAGGGAGCTAATGGATAATCATTACCGATCGTAAGTGGATTGAAAAGCACGAACACCCGGCAGACGTTCCTCTCGCCAAACATTGAACTTATTCACCAGATCATTTACTCTCTCAAGGTGGTAAGTGCCACGCATTCCCGTTATGTCGTCCCCTATATCGCTAGTTCGGCACTCTCTTACAAAAGCTTCGGCAGAGGGTACAGATGGTTTTGGTTGCCACTGTTGAATGAGTTTGGAAAGCTATAATTGATTACACTAATCAAAGCAATCAAACGAACCTTGATTCTACTAGAAAATGCTAACAATTCGCTCACATGAGCCCGTACCTGTAACGTCATTAGAGCAATTCTTTGAACAAAGATAGAAAAACGCACTTCATCGTGTTCGCTGCGCAACTCTGGCCAAGCACGGCTTAAAGCATCGTCACTCCAGGCTGAAAATTTCCACCCTAGTTCGGAGTAGAACGCCCTGAATAATGACAGAATTTTGACAGAATCGAACGCGGATTCGCCATTGTAGTCCGCGTTATTGAATTCCTCAAAAACATAATCTACCAGAGGCTGCATCCTTCGAGGATCCTTTTTATAAAAGAGGTACTGTGACACAAATTATCAATTGAGTTAAAGTCTCTAGCAAAGGTCTTTCATTACCTCAAAGAAAGATGTCCAGATTGGGAGGGTATCTGTTTTGATATCTTTCCCAACAATTTGTTTGATGAAGGGTAATGCCCACTCCCACAAAGTATCTTGCTTTACAGTACTCCAGTGCTTAGATCCTAATGATGACCGTCAATAATGAAGACGTTCGAATGCTAATGTACCTACCATTAAGTACACCTGCCAGCAATTCGGCGGCAGCACGCTGCTTGTTTTGGTCTTTATCAGCCAAAAGCTCTTCCAAAGTAGGTTTCAAAGCTTCAAATGGCTGATCTTCCAATAGTTGAACTTGTGTGTGCAAGGTAATCACTTTAATCATGCACCTCAGCCCTGAAGGAACTTACAAATTGATTTCACATCCGATATATTATCTTGGAGAATTCTCTTCTCGTAGTTTTCTTCTGCAAAGTGAGTGGATAATTGCTTCCAAAAACTCGAGTCTTGCACTATCTCCCGAACACAGGATATGACGTCTTCACTGGATGCTTCCCACTGAAAAGTAGTAGACGTTGGCTGAGGTTGCATATAGACGTCGACACTAGTACTCCATGCTAACCAGCCTTGGGGGAGTTGGTCATAGTATACACTACGACTAGTTAATTGATGCTTTCGGGGTGCTCGAAATACTTACGGTTCCGTGCTAGAATTTTCAAGTTGTGTTTGAGATCTGTACTTGCCTAAAACTTTCATGGTCGACGCATAGGAGGGCTTCATCGTGACCCGACGTTTCAGCGGGTTTCTGTTGGCTGTCAAGGATAATGCAATGGGATCACGACAGTATGTCCGAAGTTTTATATACCGAAGGCTTTTCATCAGACCTCGCTGGGCATACTGTGGACATACGTTAGACTTTTGAGGCTTAGAAACGTTACCATTCTTACATAGCGCTAAAGATAGTTAGAAAAAATTAGTCGCTAAACTCTACACGAAAAGGGAGAGAGCTCGTTACCATTGTTGGATTGCTATCATGGACTTTATCAAAGAAAATGCGAACATGCTCCGGCCGCATGAGTACGTCCCGCCGAATACATGTCCGCAGGACCCTAACAGCAGCAATGGCATAACGCCAATGCGTCTGCTTGTCATTCACAGCATCGATAACATCGGTGATCTAAAACAGCTATGAGCAGCCATACTAAATTTGAAATCACTGACGTCTTCACCGTAGCGTCGATAGCCTGATTCATTAAGTTAACTCGCTCTATACGTTTTTCTCTTGCTCGACGAGTAATGTCCTTGTCATGTTCTGTGGAAGTAAGGCAAGCCTGCAAATCAGATAAGGACTTGTCCAGTGCTGGATTTTCGACGTCATAAACGAGGAAACAAGGCTCGAGGAAGCTTTGAAGGCCTTGATAGGTACTTGTATGAGAGGTAGCAATTGGGTTGGGGGGGTGGGCTCACTATTATCTGCCACCGTCGATACACAATTTTGGATAGAAGGCTAAAAAATCCGATCAGCAAAACGAAAGGCTCTACCGGGAATCAGATTGATAGAACCTTTTCGTTATGTTGACACTCAAGGAGGCACTTGATGTATTCCGTAGCCAATGTAGGTTCTGATGACGAGTTAGTATGAGCTTGATAATGGTACTGGGGAGCCATACCTGATATCGCAAATTTTCCTTGAAAACGAAGAGAACAAAGTTTAAACAAATCCGTTATTCCAAAGATATTCATCATACCAAAAGTAGACATATTCAATGTCCATAATGCTCCTTTCATTCGATCATCGTCCGAACCAGGCTCCAATGCCTTATATAGGATAGGGAGTGCACGAATGCGAACACCATCGTAGATCTGTGCCAGTATGGTCATTTAAAGGATGCAAGAGAAAGCTCGTGACACATACCGAGCAAAGGGAATCCAGTATATATTGGCTAGATCTTTATCAAAGTTGAGCATAAATAAAGCAGTATAATCAGTCTTATACATACTCTCGCACTTCATAATAATCAGGAATGTATAACGCATGGATTAGAAATAAACTTACCATTTGGGTAATGCCACATAGACCACTCAACAACGTCGTCGATCAGAACGTTCTCGAGAGCTCCTCGTGACCGTTCAATAGAATTCCAATGTAATCGGGCAGAATGGTAATGGCTATACGATAATCAGTGGAGCGAAGGATATATCAGAAAATAAGTCCTACCGGGCGCGACGAACATATACCGCCCTAGGCCAAATCTTCTGGCCAGCATATTGACGGGCCACGTTGATATCACTCGAATACTGTTCTCCGTTGATAGAGTAACTAAAATGATCGTGAGAATGAAAGACAAGGCAAGACATCGATCAATTAATTACCTATCTCTGCTGTCCCCATATTCCAGCATGTATGTTCGGATAGATTGTAGCTAGCCAGACAATTCAGCCTTTTGGGCTGCTTATTATAGCCGAAAATCTCACCAACACTTGAACAGCATCTACGGTATTTTCCTCACCTTGCTGTTGCAGTGATATTGATGCTTTATGCAGGAATTGCCCAAAACGATGTCGTAATGAAATGATGAACTGGAAACGCTCGTCATCGGGATCAGTTAAACAGAATCCGGAATTTAGATTTTCAATAGACGCAATCATTTCTGGAATCTCATTTCTGGAACGAACATGTAAGTGGAGTTTCGTTAGAGAACTAAGTGTAGCACAAACAAAACATCACTTGTCTCGGTCATTGATTGGAGGTCTTTAGTTGAGATGACGTCCTTGAAAAGGGTAGGAATACCAGAGAATGCATTTTGCACGAAGGTCAAATATCTACTCAAACGTAAGGCCTCTATTCACGGACATTAGAAAAGCGACCTTACCGACAAAAGTCATTACGCCATTCGGCATCTCGTGAAACTGACCGCAATTTAGACACGATACGAACTCTTCAATAGAGAAACTTACCGATATCTAGCAAATTTTCTAGCTTTTCCAAAGTTGGCACAGTAAGCTCTTTGAAAAGGCGCAGAGCAAAATCAATTTCTTCATTATTAGGGACATGCCAGGACAACTTGTATTTTCATTAATATTCCTTCCCTTGCCAAAAAAAAAAAGGGGCTTCGACTTACTTGGACATCTTCCGGACTGTATAATTTACCCCAGTACTTGTGATGATTATTCTGGAATTCTATAGGGTCTTGCATTAGCGAACAAAACCGTAACACTTCTAGATGGGCCGACCTTCGTTATTCCACTCATCGGGATTGACAAATCTGTTCTCAAGAGGGTAAGTATGAGTAAGGGTGACAAGGGTGCTTGACAACAGTTTTCCACTCCAGGAATAACCGCGTTTGGAGTAAGTCTTCCTTTGCAAAACTTTGAAAAGGTGTAAAAACTGATCCTTGTACTTGAGCACCTATATCCAGCATTATATTGGTTAGAGCTGTAAAAACAAAATGTACTACGCACTGCTGTTCCATCACTGCAATGTTGTGTGCGTGAATAAAAAATTATGTAGACCTGGTAAAAGAACTGACTTGTATACAGAACCCCTTAGGATGGCAAGGTCTAGATGCTGTCAGACAAATAAGAAATGAACATGACGTGATGAATCTTACTCCAGTGCAAAGTAGCGTCAGAAGGGAGCGGGGTCGAAGAAGATGTCGTCCGGACCGAACTGGCGCCATGATCGATTTCTGTGAGAATGTTCTGCACACAAAATGGGAAAAACTTCGCCAGCGTCTTCTCTGGGTTCGCATTTGCAACACATTCCACCAACTGGTGAATGGCACGGACGGCATTCGAACGAACGTTTGTACTCGCGTAGTCGTATATCATCTTTAATACGAGATCAAAGAGGGAATCTGATAGATGAACACAGATCTGGTTGAAGGCTCCAGTCACCGCATCCACAACCTGTACTGTAACAAAGTAAATTTTCCGTTGTGAGCTGGCATTCAACGACCAGCTCACCTTCAGTGGTACCTCCTGCCGTTCCGCCCACACCCTCTTCCGGGAGATTCTCGAGTAGTTGAATGATTCGTCCAATCAAATCACCAAGCCAGGTGGCAAAGCTTCCAGTAGTATCTTTCAAAATCTTGTCTTCGTCCTCGTTAGATAGCTCGTTTTCCGCAATTTGATCTGAGCTATCGTAAGTAATAAAGCCATTCGTGGTATCTAGGGGAGTTTGCTCTGGTGAATCAAGAAACTTGGAGTCTTCAGAAGACGTCAGGTCTTTGAACATTATGTACTGGGATATTTCTGCAAGGAAACCTGTCGTACAAAGCTAAAAAGGGGTCAATCACTTGCTTGAGATCTGCGCTTAAATTAAAACATACAGTCTTGGAAGGGTCGTTCTAGGCATTGTACACAAATACGTAAAGATATATCAGCAAAGGGACAGAGAGTTAAGTGAAATCTTACGAGATCAATACCAGGAATTAAAAGCTGAAGTATCTGAATTAGATATTTTCCTCCCGGGTAATATACTTCACGAGATACAAGAGCCGGTGCTACAGCACCCAGCGCCTTGATGACTGCAAGTGTTCGATGGGTCTAAACGTACGACTGGGTAGCAAGATGACAGAAACATAACATATAACATAGACGACAAACCTCTACCAGGGCTTCCAAAGAAGGAATGGCTCTTTCAAGAATGGGATGCAAGATGAGATCTGGTTCTAAAAGACTCATAGACTTGAGAGCACTTTGAATACTGGTTACTGTAGCAGAATCTTGTGAGAACATGGCAAGAAGAACCACTGTCCTGAGACATTTGACTAATTCGCGTTTCATCAGCCGTGTCAACCGGCGAGCCTGAGTTATCATTAGCTTAAAAGCGCCTCAGACCACTCCAATAACGTACCTTAGGAGTCTTGCAATCGGGTTTCTCTTCTTCATGCCAACCTGTATACAGTCAATGTGAGGATGCGATACCAAGTTGAAAAAATGGATTCATTACGTTTGTTGAACTCATACACAATGTATTTGATGAAGGAACTCAGCTATTGGGCGAAACCAGTCAGAAAATATTTGACAGAAGGACAGAAAGACTGTCGGCTAGTATGACGCCTTTGACACTACTTACATCATTTGTCCAACTACCAGAATTGGTTGGATGAAAAAAGTGTTCAGTAGATGCAATCAGCCTAGCTAGTGAATCTAGCGCTTTACATCCAGCAATATAAGTCTGGCCTTTTGAGTGGCCAAATTTGTGTAAAGGAACCGTCAAGTAATCTGCAACTGATCCGCCTTGCAACTGTGGAGTGCTAACCCCAGAAGGAGCAGGAGTGACGAGCGGTGAAGGTGCGTTGGACGCTGGACTGACTGGCCCATCAGGCGCCATGGAATAGACAATGATGCGCGCCAGCGAAGCTAACAAAACTGTGAGGACAAGATACAATATAAATACGGGATACTTACTGATTCTCCAACTCGGTTTAGGAAGCCTACCAATCTCAAATCCTGCAGAGTTATCTGCGGAAGGACCTGTGGTCAAAGACCCAGCGTCTGCGAGAGGTATTTCTGCATATGGTGGTAAGCCTCCAGGCAGCTTATAATTAACTGATCATATAAATACACACCCATTGATGCCAGACACTTGCACATAATCAGGTGCCACTCATGCTCGGTAAAAATTCCGACATCTTTGTAAAGGCCAGACCAAGCATGGTCTTCTTTAAGGTCGTCACGACACCATTTTGGTCGACCTTCACCCTCAGACCTTTCATCATCTGGGATAGTTTCGAACTTGGCAGGATCACTGATATCTGGGTCTACATGCATTTCGGCAAGACGAGATAAAAAGTGTAACATCCTATCATCGTACATATAGGAGTTGATCGACTCCCATAAACGACTCAACATGGGGAGATACGATTGGGGGTGTGTCAAAGGTAAGAAGGTCAAAAGATAGTATTGAGACGAGAGGATGCTCTGGAATGCTGGTTGTGAGTAATGAACAGACGACGCCGGTTCTCCACAACTTACGTTCAAATCCGTCCCATTGATAAGAGGCACAAAAGTTGCCAGCATTTCATCAATAGCAGCAGGATGAAAAAAACGTCGTACTATATCGGCAATATAGCCCATGCACCATGACAATTGACTGTGATATAATGTAAGTATAAACAACGCCTGAAGCAAAGGGGCAAAGACAGACTTGTATTCAAACTGCCTTCTTGACAAAAATAAATCTTGGCTGAGTATATCATATATAGGTTTCCAAGGTAGCCTCATGTCCTCGATAGATAGCTTCTTTTTTGAGCGGGTCAAAGTCGATAACCCGTCGGCACAAATGGCGACAATTTGTGTGGACATTCCGGGGGTTGTGCTGACATGAAAGTATAACTTGGCTAATTTCATTCTTTTCTCTTTCGGAAAAGGATACTTGAGCATAGACCAGCTGGCATTTCATTAATTTAACCTTGTCCTGGATCACAAAAGAGCAGTTCACTCACTATGATAGCATACTGTCCCACTGTATGAGTCCAGGGTCATAGTCTTTTGCCTCAACACATTGCGTAATGCGAAGCAATATAAAGTCCAGCATAGCCTGTATCTTCGCATTGGACTCGATTGCATATGGTAAAGACCTTGCATATTCCTTCAATTTCTGAATGTAGCGATCCGAAGAATTATCAATGTCCTCCGGAACCACAGGCTCATATGTCTGCGGACCCGTGTCATGGGTGCAGTGAGTAGATAGCACAGATATTGTCATAAGATTTAAGAGCAGAAATTCAAGAGCAAGGATTATTCGGTGAAGTATATGGTGAAGAAAGAAAGGTTTATGGTCGTGCGTGTACTGTGCGGCACTGAAGTACTAGAGTGTGGAAACTCCCGACTCAAATAGTACAAGCGAATGTCTCATTAGCGCGCTTGCCTCGCTGCTGCCACACACCACAACTACAGCTTTCATACGTCTTAAATGCTAGAGTTGGGTTTGATACAACATATCTCGACTAATGTTGGCGTTGCAGCCAATGGTATTGCCCATTTAACATTCGTTCCGCTGCAAATAGCTTCAAACGCGCACAGCCCTCGCCAGCGCTCTATCATGATGAACATTTCGCTGTATCAAACATTAACAGTACAGCTAACAGGGAGTACACGTCGTCTATTTAGCTCACAGGTGAACATCTGCGACGAATCATCTCAAAGCAAACTCGACTTCCACGTTATCTGCGATAGCGATTGCACAGAACGTACCTCCGAGTATAGGTACTCCCAGCCTGGCAATCCACGTTCGCTTGACCCCCATTTACTATCCATGAACTGTTTCACAGAGGTAAGCTCCGTTTCTCAGCGCGTGATTGTTCCTGCCCTTGGTGTCGTCCTTTTAATCGCCTCTGGATCTCACCGAGGCGCCTTCCGTTACACACGCACGCCGGTCCAGGTGTCTTCCTGCGCTAATCTGTACTTGCTGCTATCGCGCCGGTGACTCATGAGAATCTCTGGTACGTGGAATATTTGATAGCATCCCGGTTCGATATCAGTTGATATTCTCGGTCAGCTTCTCTTGCTGGTTTTGATTATACTTTTACTAGTATGTCCAGTGAATGCTGTGACTATCTCCGTGGTACTGGACATTAAGCCTTTCCTACCCCCGAACCTGTGCTCATACTCGCGCAAGGATAAGCGTCCGTCTGAGATGTTCCAGGCGCATATAGCTAGTTCACGAGGCATGATACCGCAGTTGACCAGAAGCAATCAGCAAGAGCTCAGAAGCTCTGCCGGTGAACATAAGGCGACTCTAGATCCACGACCGGTTCCCAACGATTCAATTTATTTCATGAGTATCGCTTCGATATGTTCATCTCATCGCCATCGTCCATATATCAAGTTGACGCATGGATAATTAGAAGCAAGAATAGCACAGTGTTTTCCTGTGTACATCAAACAAGCGGTCGATGGTGTATTCAAGCCTGAGAAATGAATGTAAGGGGGCCACCTTCTTAGCTGTTCCATCGAGTCTTTTTGCACATCATAATCCCAGTGTCTGTACATCGCTCATAAGGACATGCATTGTTTAAACCATCTCCACAAAGCCCAAAAATAATGACCATGCCAACATCGGTGGTAACCCCTCGTCTCGTCTCGTCTACCCTTGCTCTAACTCCAGCTTTGGCCGTTTTGCCGTATCCTCCAGCTTGCCTCCTTGATCAAGAGCGTTCTCCGAGTGAGATCTCTTGGATGGGGGGCTGATATCGACTTCGCCAACTTTAAATTGCGAGTTGGAAAAGGTCACATCTTCCGAACTACATAAAGGTATACGTACAGCTATTTTGCCCAGCTTCGGAAGGGAGAGGTCTGAAATACGGCTGAGCCAACCAATGAGGGAGAACTTTCAGTCCCGTCGTCGGCTCAATCGTCACAAGCTCTTCTATCGACAAGCCTTCTGCCTCTCTCGCATCTCGCTAACATCACACTCAGTCAACAGCTCTCAAAGCGGTAAATGGGCCAACTCACATCCATGCGACGTTTCATCTCCTCCGCAACCTCGATATAGCCCTCGATGCACGCCGCACCTTTGATCTTGCCCAACCTTTCCCGCAAGTCTTTCTCTCTCGCCAGCGCAGGCCTCATCAGCTTGAACAAATGTCCCTTCACCGCGCTTATCGGTGTTCTTGTTTTGAGCCCTTGGACGATGGAAAGGTACTCCAGCGCGAGGTCCGCGTGTGGGAGGTGCAAGCCCGCGTCGAATGCAGGGTCTGCGGAGGGAGCAAGCGCGAATAGCGTTGCGTTATACAGCTGGGCCTCTGCAGCCATCACACCGTCTGCCCCAGTAGCTTCAAGACACCGAGCAATATCAGAGTGATAAAGTATATTCCCATTAGCAAATACAGGTACGGAGACCGCTTCTTTGACGGCACGAATTTTAGCCCAATCTGCCAGGCCCTAGAGATAGTGAACATATCGGGTGAGAAAGGCTGTTTGATTTGGATTGAGAATAGACTTCACTGTGTTGTGTCCACGCTGCTCTCGTGTCCGTCCATGGCACGTCAGTATCTGCGCACCCGCGCGTTCGAGCATCTTCGCATACTCCACCGTCTTCTCCACCGTCTCAAACACGCGAAACTTGGCCGTAACAGGAACGGCAAGGTTCCTATGCAGGGTATGGACGAGGTTATAGATTAGCTGCCACTCGTCTTGCAAAAACGAGCCATAGTGCCCCTTCCGAGCGATGTCTTGTGGGCAGCCGAGGTTGATGTCGACGGCGTCGCAGTGGGCCTCGACGACTTTTGCGGAGGCGAGAAGTTGGTCTGGGCTGTTGGCGCAGAATTGGACGATGAGAGGTCGATCGAGGGGTCCGCCTTCTTCTCCGTTAGGGATGTTGAAATTCTGCTCCTGGTAGTTTTTGTGTACGCCGCCTGCGAACATCTGTCAGAAAGAAGAAAAGAGTGCGAGAACAAAGGGTGGTCTCGGTTTAGTGTCGATGGAATGGAGCACTGCGTTGAAAATATGACCTTTGCGTTTATCATGGGAGTGTAAGCAAGCTAACGACAATCAACCAAACAAACGAAATCCCCCAAGTCAGTGAATGCAATAATCAATCACCCCCTCTCGTACACACCCACATACCTCAGCTCCATATCGACGCGCCAGCAGCCTCCACGCCTACACTTGCAAACAAAGCCAGAGTCGAAGAAAAAAAAAACAGTGATATCCATATTCAATCATAACCAAAAAAAAAAGAACGCCATCACTCGCAGGAAAGTATACATACCAGTTCACTCTGATCCACCATCGGAGCGACGACGAATTTCGGGCTGCCGAGGACGGTTCTATACAATTCATATCCGCCCAATTTCTGCTTTGGCCCGTCGACGGCGGTGGGACTATGGGGTAGTATTCCAGGCATCCTTAATGCGAGGAGGCTGCGCAGGGCGCGCTCCAGAGACGGTAGTCCAATGATGGTAGTTGATGGATAACTTGGAAGTGTGGCTGAACACTCGTGACCGGAGTCGGACAGTAAGAAAAATTGCCACAGACACTTTGCCTTTTGCAGTGATCGAGATTATTAGTCTCTTGCAACATTGCCGTAAGTACAATCATGTATAATACCAACAAGTAACAAAAAGGCTATGTACACAACATCCACACTAGGTATACGTATATCCGAACGCATTGTACAATGGTGATAAATAAAAATGCAATGCAACTTGAAAGGGGGGTATGTATATTCCGAAATCCAATAATGACACAAATAAGTTGATCATTCACTTTTTTCCGAAGTAACCGTATGAAAGTAGCTTCTGCCTATCGTCCAGGACCCCCGGCCATCACGCACCAACGTCCATATCGTCGTTCCGGCTACCACGCACCTCGGCCTGCGTCTGTATCTGCGTCTGCGTCTGAGCTTGTGCTTGAGCGTGGTTTGGATTTTGAGTGGAAGCCTGACGAAGCGGATCGACACCCAACACCCTCAGATACTCCACAAAATCAACCAAAAACTTGACCTGCTCCAGCGTCTCAATCGCCTTCACACTCCGCCTCCTCCTCACCACCGAAATCGCGCGCTCGACGAGCTGGACGGTGTCGCGCCGGACTGGGCTGGAGGCGTCTTGGGCGTAAGCCGCGTCCGACATTGACGCGATCGGGGACGGGGACGAGGTGGGTGATGGGGACGGTGAAGGGGACGGGGAGGGTGACAGGGCCGGACGCGGGGGAGTGGAAGTAGAAGCAACACACACGTCCGTCAAGCCCGCGGACGACCTCACATCCGTCTCAATCCACCCACACAACCCAAGCTTCAGCATCCAACAACACGCCACCAACCCCGCCCTGCCCACGCCCCCGCGACAGTGCACGAGGATAGGCATCCCGTGGAGCGTGTACGTCTCGATCAGCCTCGTCAGATGCGCGTCGAGGGATTCTGCGGAGAGCGGGGCGAGGCCTTCGGGGAGGGGTATGCTGGGGGAGGCACGAATGGATACTTATGATGAGGGATAGGGGAGTGGCGGGTACGTACCGTAGGACGTCGAGTCCGAGGCTGTGCGCCTTTTGGTAATACTCCGCCCATGAAGCGCCGAGAAAGCTGAGTTCTTCATCGTCTAGACAGCTTTGGGATGGTGCTGTGAGGGCGGGTCACGAGATGGAGGACGAAACGAGGCTTACCACACGACGCATCTCACGCCTAGATCTTTCATTCTTCGAAGATCGATCTCGAGGTCTCTGCACACTGCGCTTCTGCCTTTAACGGGACCGTTCAGGCGGACTTTATCGCGATAACGATAGACGTGATGTCAGTTCCGAATCTCGGTCTGCGGAGGTGGGCGCGGGGTGCTCACCTTTTTTTCCGGGGCATGAAGAGAGGTAGAGGTTGCCGAGTCTGAATTGTTTGGGTGTGGTGAGGCGGACGGAGGGAGAGCGTAGCGAGGCTGTGACGGTCCTGAATGTTGAGGAGGACGAGGTGATGAGAGGTGATCTGAGACGTGGTACGCTTGTGTAGGGGGGTACGCTGTTCGTATATATAACATCAGCGATGAATAAAAAGGAGAGTAAGATACGCACAGTTGCCGAGTCGATAGCTTTGGGACGTCGATTGCGCCTGGATAAATAGACTGGACGGTATCAAGAACACCGGGTAAAGAATGTATATAGCAGCTTGCACTCGCGGGAGGTCGTGCGTTGACAGACACCGCAATGCTGGTAGACTGTCGGTGGACGCCAGCACTCTTTTGGGAGGGCACGCCCGACTCCCTAACAGAGCGTGCTCTGGAGAGGGACGTCATGGCACTTTTCAAGGACAATACCTTGGATATGGCAGGAGGCATTTGGGTTGCTGATGTGAGTTTGCTGCTTATGGCTGCTTGGAGGGCCTCGCTGACGGATATTTTCCTTTGGGGTGGGAATGCGGGGGGCGGGGTATGCGGTGGGCCTGGGGAAGTGCGGATGGGTATGAATGGGACGGGGGACGGAAGGCTGGGGAAGAGGTGTGCGTAGCCTGCGACACGATCTAGGGAGTATGCGAGGGGGACATCGAACATGACTG